TTTTTTTTTTTTTTTAACCCCCTGGAGAACAATTAGTTGAGTGGCATAGGATTACTGATATTGTGGTATGTAAATCTAAGTATTGATACTAACAGGTTTCTTGAGCACCCAAATCTTTTCCTAAAAGTTCACCTCCTGCTGAAGCATCGTGTTTCTAAAAATCGGGTGTTCTGCACAATGGCTAATCAGATTGTGTTACAGCAGGCTTTCCTGACTCAGACATCTGGGGCAGGATAATCTTTGCTGTTGGGGGGCTGTATTTAGTAGCAGTATTCCTGGCCCCTACTACTAGGTGCCAGGAGCACCTCCCCAGATGCCACAACCAAAAAGGCTCAAATGTCCCCTGGGGGCAAAATCAGCCCCAGCTGAGAATCAAATCACTGTGTTATATAAAGCCACCACTTAGTGATGAGGGAACATAAGGCAAACTGAGGGCCAAGCACAGTCTAGCATTACCCAGCCCTCCTAGGTGGGATGTGTGTGACATCCAGGCTGCCCAAGGACAAAGGAAAGGACCAAAAACAAATGGTTAAACTGATAAAGTCTCCATCAGTTCACAACTATCTTAGTAAATTAGAAGACAAAGGCAATCTTATCAACAGCCTAATCTCCAGAAACCTATAGACTGAGTTTCCTGGAGCCCCAGCATCAACCTCCCCTCCATAGTGATGTGGGAAACAAAGGCAAGAAGGAAATGGCAGATAAAATTAGATTTCCTTATAACCTGCAGCCCTTTGACACACACTTAAGGCAGGCAGAGTAAAACCTTTCTCCAGGAACTCCCTACTGTCTTAATGTTAATGCCTTAGCTTGACAATAGCTAGACCTCCAGTAATCTGTGAGTCCTTAGAATATGAAAATCTCTTTGGAAAGTTCCCTTTTGACTTTACCTCCCCCAGCCCCATAGCATATAAGGAGCCACTCTTCACAACCCCAGCGCCCCTCTTTCTGCTCATGGGTCCTGTCCCTGTGCTCTAATAAAATCACCCTTTTGCACCAAAGACGTCGCCAAGAATTCTTTTTTGGCCATGGACCCACTATCACCCCAAAACCTCATCACTTGTTTTTCTTGATCAGGGTAGTGGTTACATGGGAGACACCTTTATCACTATTTGCTAAATTGCACATGTGTGTTTCATGTACTTTTCTGTGTATAAACTATATTTCACAATAAATAAATATTTCTTAAAGTCCCAAGCTGAGAACAATTTACAACTAAGCAGAATGCAAAAAATAATTATGTTCTTAATTCGACAACGACAGACAGATGAGTACTCTTGGCCTCACCCATACCCCCGGAGAGTGAGGAAACTCCTGTGGGAGGAAGAGACTTTACAGAGACACTCACTAAGGGGCTACCACTGACCTGGGTGCTAATTCTCATTGTGCCAGGCACTGTGCGATTTGACAGGCAAGAAACTGGGGTTCGTACAAGCTGCCTGGTCACACAGCTAGTGAGAGGTGAGTCAGGATTGGAAACCAGGATTCTCCTGATCCAGAGTCATTTCTGCAGCCAAGCCCTGCTTCCCACATGGCCTGTCATTTAAGGATCTCCTTTGCCTTCCCATATGCGGAGCAGTCAAGGAGTTATCTCCTTTTAAAACCCAAATATGTCACCAGGAGGGATTCCCTATAAACTGGACTTTGTTGATCAGATCTGTAGTAATTAGAAGACTTAAGGACTGGGGACAAAGGGCAGAAGCCCGGACCTGTTTTAATGGGGGAGCCAGGTCTAGATGGGTCTGGGGCTGGGGGATGGGCAGCACAGGGACTGTCAGTGGCAGAGAGTGGAAGGTCACAGGCAAAGGACAAAATGGGATTTGCCTGGGGCTCCTCTGCCAATACCAACTTGTTGCTGCTTGTTCTTGAAAGAAAAGTTTTCCCTGGCACTGGCCGAGAAGAAGCGAGGCCACTGCTTGTGCAGCTGGGAACCATTTGTCAACATTAAGAAAGTCGGAGGCTGACACGCCAGCAAGACCTGGAGCGGGTCCAGGAGAGAGTTCACACTGGGAAAAACCTCAGCTCAGCCTGCAGCCAATGGCACCCGGTCATCCCAGTCAGGAGAACCTGCTCCTGGCCCACCGCGTGCCTGAAGCCCTTAGGGAACTCTGAATGCTGGGAGCCTGGGAGAATACACTCAAAGAAACAGGGTGAGGCACCATGCTCTGAAGAGCTCCGAATCTATTTGAGAAGACAAGGCTAACAAGCGTGGGGGAAGAGCAAAGACTAAAAGGGCCAAGCAGGAAGCTAGACACGGAAAGGGATTGTAATCTCCAGCTTGAAAGCCAGGCAGTCTGGTTCATACATGTGACTTTGCTTAGCCTCTCTATGCCTCTATTAACTCATTCGTAGAATGGGGGAAATATTGTGTTGTAGTGTATTGTATCGTATTGTACTGTATTGAGGGTAAATGAGACAAAACAGGTAAAGCACAAATCATGAGGAATGATTCAGGCACTGCTCGGAACCGCTTTCATGTACTATCAGTAACATGTTAGTGGCATTTAACTGTGCAGGACAGACCCGACAGTCTCCGAGAAATTTAGATCAGAGGATGCCCAGAGAACAGTGGTGGGGGTTGGCAAAATGACCTCCAGCGAATTTGAGTCTAACATTAAAAAATGTATAAAATGCAGATATATGGAGGGGAGGACGGAGTAGATTAGCCAGGCGAAAAGGAGCGGGTCTTGAGAAAGTACCTGGGACAGTCCCCTTCCTGGGTACTGGGCTCACCTTGTCTGTCTCTGATTACCAGGCAGTTCCCTAAAAATGCTGAAGTCTGTGGCTCTCAAATCTTAAATAAGGACACACAATTTCATTATGACACTCATCATTTCACATAAAGGCGGCGGTTACTTCACATAATTCCCGATGGCAGAGGTTCCTCCCTGGGCTCTGGACGGAAAGCCCTCCTCCACCATTGACACACCCAGAGAGAAGAAGCAGAACCCTTTCCAACCAGGGCAGAGGGTATTTCTAAGAATTAGGCTCCTCGAAGGATATTCCACTTTATATTTTCTAAGCTGAGGAATATGAGCTTTTTGCATAAACTCTGATAATATAATTTCGATTAAAGACACTCTGCATGACTCCTACCTCTGAAAAATTCTAATAATCAACCATAATAGCAGTAGCAGCAGCAGCAGCAGGAATAAACACACTGTTTATGACGTGCCGGCCCCGTCCCAAGCATTTAGATATGCAAATTCGTTAAAAGTCATAATTTGTAGCCCTTTAATCTGAACAAAGTGTTCCCAATCTCTACCCGTAGTCACCTCCCTCAGGCACTTAACAGTAGTCTCTTGACGTTGCTGGACCTCATGCTATTCCCCGGATTGAGCTCCTCCCTCATTTCCTCAGGAGCATGTGAAGCAAGACAGGAAAGATGTTATATGTGATTTTGAATGACTTCCTTAAAAACTTAAAAAGTGGTTGCATCCTCTTTGCTCATTCATATGAGGACTAATCAGTTTACCCTGTAAAACATCACAGCTGCCTTCTGAAGGATGCTACGCTATTCTCCCTTCTCCCTCTTCCTAGGCCTCTTCTTCCTATGTTTATTTTCCTCCTTAGCAGAACTCAGCAGGTGTCTCTGGCCCTGTACCATCTCTACCCATCACTGCTGGTCTGCCAGGTATGCAGACCAGATCCCAGGCTGGAGGCGAAGGCAGCTTTCCTTAGAGATCATCATTCTTCCAAACTCAAGTTTCCTCCCTCCACGGTCACATGTGGTCTAATCTGGGAAGGCTGAGTGCTGCTTTTCTCAGAAAATTCCCTCGGCCCCTTCGACTTCTGCAGTTCTCTTATTCTAATACCTGTATGGATCCTACCATGGCATATGCTGCACGAAGAAGAAACTCTAGGCTTTAGGGCAGGAAGAGTTAACACTGCCACAGTACCTCTCTCCCTGCCTTCAGATGGAAAAAGGAGGGGGTGGTTCCTGGCAGCAGCAGGGCCAACTGAAGGATGGCACGCGGGATCAACAAATGGGGGTGGCAGATTGCGCTGTTTGTAGCACCAAGCTTCCAGCAACTGCTACGCTCACTGTTTCTGTCCTCTTTCTCAGGGTTGGCTCGGGCGTCTTTTCGTTCCCCCCCACCCCCTTTCACAAATCTATTCTCTGCAAATCTAGGGAACGTGGAACAGGCCAAAATAGCAGCAGTCTCCCGGGAGGCTGGCAGAGGTGGTGCTTCCTTATCCCCACACCAGTGCCGATCTTAACTCATCTGGAGGCCCCAGGACACCAGCTGAGCAAGAGGGCTTTGCAAGACCCCATGGCTCACCGTGGGCGGCCCGCGCCGTGCAGAGGACCGCCTTGGACAGTGTCATAGAGAGGTTTATTCACTGGTCCACAAAGAGAGATTAAGGATTGTTGCCAATCTTTTGCAAGTCTCCAAAATGCCACTTAACTAAACATTCTATACAGACTTGAAAAAATTAGACAAAGGCCAACATCAGCGATTTGTAGAGACCACTGACTGAC